ACTACTGGTGTAACTTTGTGTATATCACTTTTCCCTATCTCATTTTCCCCACCTGTAAAACAACAATGTTGAGCGGAATGGTCCAGAAGATCCCCACCAATTCCAATAATTCTTGGTAACTATTGCTGGAAAGGAGTTCTGATGGTGTAGTGGTTAAGGCATTTGACTGCTAACCAAAAGGTCGATGGTCCGAACTGAGAAAGAAAGATGGGGCGATCTGCTTCCATAAAGATTTACAGCCTTGGAAACCCAATGGAGTCGCTATGAATTGGAGTCAACTCAATGGCAGTAAGTTTACTGCTGATGGAATTAACACAAATTGGTGTAGTCTGTCTCAGACTCACCACAGCATCAGCAACGCTATTGTGACTTCAAGGTTGGGCTCTTGGCATCTCTTTAGAATGGCAGAGACTACTGGAACAGTCTCTATGGTGGATCCCTGCAGGTGTTTAAGACAACAGTTAGTAGAGGCCCTTACTGTGGGGCTTGGGAGCCTTCTTCATGGGAGAAAATGGAGTCTACGTTTCTCAACTTCTACCCCCACACACCCATCTCTACCCTGCCTTTAATGAAACCAAAGCTTTGCCATTCTACTAGTCACACTGTGGATATGGGAAAAGTTCCAAAATGGTAACGAGTGCTCACCTAGCACCCTGCGCCCCAGACCAAGGGCACCCAGAAAGTCCATTGTGCAGGAGAAGGAGGTTGCTAGCTTCCAGGCAGGGAAGTTGTAGGGTAGACAGTGTCGTAAGGGCAGGCGTGAGTGGGGGGGAGCTCATAGGTGCGTTCTGGGCGGAGAGGGAGGAGGTGCCGGAGGAGATGTGCGGCCCCTTTAAGACCCCAACGCTTGCCTAGCCAAAGGAAGGGGGGTGCAGTGGGGACGCTGCGTGATGGGAAAGTCGCCGGCTGAGTCTCACACTTTCTCCCGATTTCTTAACTTTCAGGTCGAGGGAGCAGGAATAAAGCCATTGTGCCAGGGTGGAAAGGGGGGTGCGGGCTTGCAGCCCCCGTGTACTTGCGGGACTTCCTGCCAGCGCAGAACGGTCGGTCGGCCTCTCTGGCCAAGTGAGGAGCAAGCGGGCGGGCGGGCAGGTGGCCCCGGGCCGCCGCGCCCGCGCCTTGGCTCTGCCCCCACGAGCCAAGCGAGCCGCTGCTCACTCGTGGTGAGGGCGGTGATTTTTTTCCTCCCACCCACTTTTGAGTCGCACCCCCCCTCCCCTTGCGCGCACTCTAGCTCTCGCCACGACCTGCGAGCCCCAGACCTCGGAGGAGCGCCTGGGGGAGCTCGGAGCGCGTGCACGCGTGGCAGACGGAGGAGGCCAGTGCCCAGGTCAGTGAGCAGTGTCCTGCACCCGCGTCCCCCACTTTTCTTCCCATTCTGTTGCACAGGTGGGGTGTCAAATGTTGGCTGGAACCTTCTCTAGAAGTTCCCGCAGGGCGCCTGGGACTTGCCCGACTTGCCACTCCAACCCACTATAGGGCCCAGCTGCCAGCAGCAGGGGCTAGGTGAAGGCTAGGAAAGTTGGGGGCTTTGGATTCGAACTCACTACTTGTTACTCGGCCTGCCTTTCTCCATAATCTGGTTCTTTGGGAGGCCACCTGGGTATTGCTGCCCAGCTACCTCACAGGGTTTTGCATTCCCCTTAATTACCACAAGTGTCCTGAGCCTGTTTTCCTACTTGCTAAAGTGCCTTGGACCCAGTGGATGATTAATGTGCACTAAAGTTAATGAAACAGGGTGGATAGGGGAGAAGCTCTTCTCTGAATACCTGCTTCATTTGGGGGCCCAGACCACCGAGGTTGGAGATTGAGACAGTAGACTCAGGAAGCAACTTGGTGTTGCTAGAGCATGGGGCTGGGAGTTGGAAAGCCTGACTTTGAGCTGCTCTCAGCCTTACCACTAACTAACGCCAAGAGATTGGGCAAGTCTCTTGAGTTCTCTGGGCCCCAGGGAGCCCATTTTGAAGATGGCCGTTGTTGTGGGGAATAAATACAATGGCAGATCGTGAAGTGTTTTGCAAGCCAAATGTAATACATTGTTTGTCAATCACAGAGCAATGAAGGCATTGACTCTGACAACAGAGACCCAGAGCTACAACTGCTACTTTTCAATGGCAATCCACACCAGTTAACTGAGCTTTTCTTTGGGTAGAGGGGGAGAGGATTTCAGCTGAAGAACAAGGGCTGTCGACTCCAGGGTCTTCTTATTGTTTGTCAGAAAGAAAATTGCTACCCTGGGGGCTGTCCCACAGATGACAGTGAATGTGAGATTACAAGGTCAGTCAAGCCTCTCCAGAGGATTAAAGGGACATTGTGGCGCATGAAGAACCAGCTGACATGTGCTCATCCCTTAACCTTCCTATGGGGGTATCTATTTGGCTCTCTTTTACCCAGGAGACCTGCTTTGAGAGTGGACTTCTGACACCTGATGGCCCAGATTGCCTTGCAGTTACAGCTGAGCAAAGAGCAGTTGGTCCCTTTGCTTGATACAAATGAACAATGTGAGCGCTTGTTTCACCAGGCACCTTAATAGATACCTTTCTGGTGATACGTGACATGTTTCTAGTTCTTCTGTAAAGCCCACTCACCCCCCCAGTGCCATTTGGAGGGCTTTGTTTTCTTTGTTGCTTTCTTGTTGAGTCCTAGATCTCCCCCCAAAACATGTCAATGGCTGCATTTCTAAGTAACCTGTAAAAGAGGCAGTGCAAGTTCAATGGCACAACAGCCCGAGTGAAGCAGACAGAGAGTTAATGCAGAAATAACTCCAGTTAACTGGGTCAAAGTATAATTTGAAAAATTAAGGACAGTTTGGCTCTTTGTAAGAATAAGAGTCGACATGTTTGCTGAGCGATGCTTGCTTGTGTTTACTGCTACAATCCCAACGAATATCTTGAACCCCCCTCCCCAAAGGAAAAAAGAAGCTAAAGGGATTAAAGAGAAAATAAGTGGTGGGGAGACTTGGGGAGAGAGAGAACTCTATTCAGTTTATAGTTCTGTACAGAATACCAAGGCAGGACTTCAGGATCTTGTAAATCAAAAGTGAAAATTTATGAAGCGATTTGTTTTCTGATGTTCTCCATCACAACCTGGGAGGCTTCACAGATGACAGGAACGCCAAACGAGATTAATTGCTCTCTAGTCACCAACTTTTCTATTTGCTCATAACATTAGTTGGGACCCAAGAAAAGCAAAAGAATTCTAAGAGCCATTTTCTTGCCAGTTTGAGTTATGAAGCAATGCTACTGTTCACAGAATCGTCCAACCATTGTACAAGAAAAACAACCCTGTTGGTTCTTACATGGTGAGGCCTGAAAACTGTGGTTTCAGAAGTACCCCTGGAGATCCATATGTGATTGTAATAAATTGGATTTCAGTGCCTAAAAATCTTTCTTATTTTGAAGCTTGAAGGATAAACTTATTAAAGAAGGCTCAGGAACAACCCCACTGGGCTGGGTAGCTCTGTTTAATTCTTAATGGAAATGGTTTGCTTCAAGGGAATCTGGTAACTCTCAGGGGACAGAGAGATTCTGAGTGACTGAAAGTGGACCTCAAGCTCACAGAAGGGAGCAAGAAATCAGAACCCAGGGCTTTGCAAGATTAGAATCATGTCCTGGGAGAATATGGTCCTTGTTTAGGGAGCAGGAAAGCAATCGAGAAGGCAGATGTTGTTGTTGTTGTTGTTATGTACCGTCAAGTCAGACCCGACTCATAGCGACCCCTCCTTGGGTTTTCGAGGCAGTATCACTATGGAAGTAGATTGCCCCATCTTCCTTCTGAGAAGGCAGATGGATGCTTCAAATCCTTCCTGATAGCACAAATGATTCTCTGTGATTTGTTGTTGTTGTTATGTGCCGTCGAGTCAGACCTGACTCATAGCAGATTAGACATTCATAATTTGAAACAATGGGTTTTTAATTATTGGGATAGCTTCACAGCATGTAAGTAGGAGCTGTGACATCTACTTCAGAGCTCAAAGACATTTCAATTCTCCGGAATGATCATCTTGCATTTCTTTTATTTCTTTGTGCTCAATATTTAAGTTGGACCCTGTGAAAAGATCAATAAATTCAGTTCTATTCAGGGTTAACCTGGCACTGAATGTGGGGTTTCTAGAATATTTAAATATTTTAAGAACACCCATTGGAAGAGTTTTACAAACTTTAAAGTCTAATGACTCGTAACTAGATGTGAGCTGTAGAGCAAACTTTGTGTGTTCTGAGGCTCAAAAGGTTAAGAATCCGTCTCCTAGACTGGAAATACAAATGTCATATTTTTAAGAATTGTGGTTACCTTGAAGATACAGTGTGAACAAATTACCTATTTAAATTTGCCTAAATTTCATTTAAAATGGCCCGTTTTAAATTTCCATTTCGTATTTGGGCTTCATGGTGGAGGAATGTGTTTGAACCATAGTAAGCAGTAAAACTGTTTTCAGGTGCTAATTACATCTATCTTTTCCTACGTAAGTAGGCACATCAAAGATACTTATAGATCTCATAGAAGACATAGGAGAAATATCCCTGAAAGATTAATAATAATGGTAGTCTTGAAGTTCAGGTGAGTTAACTTTCATTTTAGAAATTTCTTGGGTCTCACACTTATGACTTTTACTGTGTTTACCAAAATAGCAGTCTGCAAACCTCAGTTTCCCTTTTCTCCCAAACATAATCAATCTCTTGAGAAATCAACTTCAATTCACTTCGGAAGGAAGATTTCCAACTTTATTTTTATTTTGCTATGACCTGCCTGTTGTGACTTAGCCTTACAGTTGGATAGAAATGTACGTTCATTTGCTTGAATTTTCTCCCATAAACTTGGAAAGACAGGAGAGGCAAGTCCTCTTTCTTGTGTGGGAAACAATGCTTGTGCTTATGTATGTCTTCCAGCATTTTTTTCAAACAATTTAGAAGCCTAAGCATCAATGATCTCTGCCAGTCCCAGAGTGTTTGTTTCAAGGGTTTTTTTTTTGTGTTTTTTTTTTTCTGCTTTCTTCCCAACAGCTTGAGTGCACAGGCCCTGAAGTTCTGAGTTACCTTCTGCAGTAGTCAAAATGAGAAAAAAGTGGAAGATGGGGGCCATGAAATACATCTTTTCTTGGTTGCTGTTCTTTCTTTTCCTAGAAGGAAGCAGAGCAGAACAAGTAAAGCGTAAGTTTCCTTAAGTTTTTGAAAAAGTGTTTTTGAAAAATGTGGTTATACTCTGTAGAGACTGTGATTTAGCCCAAATGTGGCTTAGAATACCGTTATTCTAAGAGAAGAGAGTGAATGTTACTGGTTTATGCATGAGTTGATAAAAGCACGAGAGCTTTGAATCAGGCCAACTAAATTTGAGGCTGTTTTTCTGATTATCATACAGTTTTCATCTCATAGAATACATGAAACATTAGCTTATTTTCCCTTTCCTGTTCTAAACTTTACAAATCTCATTCCATTTTACGTAACTCTAGAAATATCTGACAGATGAGCTGGAGTTTTTCCCAAATTTCAGACTCTTCAGGAAAGGTTTTCAGTTTATGAAAGAAAAAAAAAAAAAAAAGTAAAGCAAGCTCTGTCTATTCCCTTAAACCCTAAAACATAGAAGGAAAAAGCTTCGTATGAACTAGATTCAGCTGAAAAAATCCTTTAAGGAAATTGAGATTCCAGGGACCATTAGCAAACTGGATGCCATTGATGGAAAGGAGCATCCCAGCGAAGCCAGAGAATATTTCTAGAAAGTCAGTGACCCGTGTGATGGGCTAACACATTGGAGAAAGCAGAGAGTGGCAGAAAAGGGGGATAATTAACCCTACTTGCTGTCACATTTGGAAGATTTATGAGTTACCATTGACATATTTGCTCTTGTTAGGAGCTTTCTGCTGCCTTTGCACAGTATGGGCCTCACCTTCTTTGGACCACTTGCAGCCACCTCTGAAGTGGACATTGCTCTAAATTTGACAGAAAAGCCATAGCTCTAATTCCCACTTTTAGGCTGCATCAAAAGAAGCACAAAGTGGAACTGGTCCAAGGGGGGCATTCTCTGCTCCACTGGACTTATTCATGAGAAGGAACTGTGAAAGTATTCTTGGTAGGAGCTGACACACCATCTGAAGCCCATCACTTAAACATTTATCTCCTTTATCAACATAAGTTAAACAAATCAGGCACTAGGCTTGCTGACAAAGAGAACAATGACAAGCCTATTCCATCATTATGTGTATTTATTTCTCATTACCATCTTCATAGTAAATTAGTCCTGTTCCTGGGAGAAATAATGCTTTTGATTAGGCTTTTAAGTATAATGATCTGTGGTGATATCTATATGGTTGAGACACAAGAGAAAATTTAGCAGGACAAGAGCTCAATAATCAAGCTTCATCAGCCTGTCCCTGTATCACCCCAACTACCCCCTTGTCCTTCCACTTGAATATATACAGTCCATCTCAGAGCTGTCCTCTTCCAGAAATCCTCCTTGATTTAAGTGTATGTGATAGAAATGTCCACCAATTCTCACTCAGTTCACCTCACAATCAGCTGTGCTTTAAAATCCCTCCACTCTTAAAACTTCCCTGATGGCCTGTTATTGATGGCATAATGAGTAAACTTGTAACTCTTAGAAGATCATGTTTCTTGGAAGCCTTCCATATTTATGAAGAATTGAGGAATACTGTCCATGCAATTTAAAGCTTACCTGATGAACCAAAGAAAGATGGACCTTAAATATTTATGGACGAACATATATCACTTTCTGACTTTTTTTTTTTCTTTTTTTGCCTAGGAATTTGTCCCAAGCCCTTCTGATATTCAATCAGTGTCAAAGTTATTATATAACAGATGGTTCAGGACACTAGTTCTGGTCTAATGTTTTAGGCTTGTAGTTGGATGATGAGGCTAAAGTCATGGTCATTCCTTAAATGAGCCACCAGCATCATTCTGTACGTACCCATACCCAAGCTAACTATCTTGAAGACATTTGCAAAGTCATTTCCAGTAAAGGGAAAACCTCAAAACATATACTCTATATATGTTCCCTTGATACATATTCATATACACTTAATGCTTGCATTGAGATTTATATTACAGCTGTAACACTGAGGAGTTAGAAGAAGTGAAAATGCTAGTTCATAAGCAAATGGTTACATAAATGATCTATGTAATGTAATGTCATGTGATCATTCAAAAACACTGCTTGTTGAAAATTTGGTGACTATAGAGAATGCCTCGATGGCAAACAACAACAACAACAACATAGAGAATGCCTATGTTGACTTATTTTAAAATTTCTTAAATTGAAAAATTAGTATATGCTCATTGTACAAAAGGAAATAAAAGTATCTGAGCTTCATAGAAAATATGTATTCCTCAGGCCCTTATCCCACTCTCTAGGGATAACTATTATTAATAGTTTGTTATGTGTTCTTCAAAAGGTTTTTCCTGTTATAAAAACATACATGCATGTTAGGATTTTTTCTTCTTACAAAAATGAGATGATAATATGTGTATGTGTATATATATATTCTCTCCATCTTGCATTTACTCAATGATATGTCTAGGAAATAGAAAGCTAACAGTGCCATGTTTTTCCTAATGGTTGCATAACTTTCATTTGCATAAACATACCATGGTGCATGTGATGGTTAAGTTTGTGTGTCAACTTGGCTGGGCCTGGTTGAGTGGATGGGCAGCTGAATGCAGTTATTCCCCATGCTGAGATTGGTAATTAACTCCATGGTGGAATATATTGGAGCAGCTGAGTAGCTGCTTTGGGTATCTGCTTCCCGTATATAAGAAACAGCTTTGGGAATGGTCTCTAGCTTATGGCACTCTTGAACACTGCATGTAGCTGTGTCATTGTTCAGTAGCCTGCCATGCTCTGCCGACCTTGGGACTTTCAATGGACTTGAATTAATGGCCTGCTGTGTGGTTTGGTAACATAGGGACTGTGCCTTTTTACTTGTCAACCTTGGGCTTGTCAGCCTCAGCAGCCAGCAGCTGCCTGAGTGAAGAAAGCCTCTAGCTTCAGAGGGCCTGGAGTTGGAGGCAGAGTTGAAGCCAAAAGTTGAGGGGATTTCACCCAGCACCTAGAGCCTGACACTTTGAACTCATACTTAAAGCCTCCAAACTGTAAGAGAATA